CATGTCGAAACACCGGTTCTCCTACGATCACCGAAGTTAAACAACGTCGAGCTTGGTCAGTACCTAGATGGGTGACAGCTTGCGAATACCAGGTGCCGTAAGTTTGGATAACGGCTCGGAATTTTAAAATCAGAGAACCGAGTTCAAATTCCAGTCAGGTTCGTTATAGTCACTTACACGTAAATTCCCTCGGAAAAGTTATGAATCTACTCCCTCCCAGCTATGGGTAAATTAGTAGCACTTGTATCAATATGCTATTATTCTAGAATGGAGTATAGTTATCATATTTGGACGGGAACTGCACAGACCACACACTTGAGCTTCGATAGAGTCCAAAATGCCTCCGAGTCCTTGTGGGTGATGAATTATTATATAACCTCTCGCTCACAGCCTCTCGCTGCTCTATCGCTACTTTCACCGAAAGTGCTCGGACGAACTACATTCCCTGGTCCTGTCAGTTCAAACTTTCACAGCAAGGACACACCATGCCATTTACATTGTAGCAAACCACCCACATTCTCTCCGTATTCCATCAATGAGAATCAAGTTCCACCCGAGCATCCTCATCCAGCAAATGACCGCTCTGTAAAACCAAATCTCAAGAAGGTTTTTTTTTTTCCCGATCACTACAATCTTAACGTGTTCAAGTTTAGAGTTAGCCATTACTTTCCTCTCTTATATGTCTTAACATAATCGTCTATCTGGAGTGGCCCACGAGCCTTTTACAGGATGAACTGGACTCTAAAAAAATTTTTACAATCTAAACACATTTTTTGGCTTTAAATAACCTGAAAAAGGTTGATAAGCCGCAAAAAGTCAATCGATAAAAACACCTGAGTACTATATATATATATATATATATTTTTGAACATATGTTTTTGAACATATTTAATATTCACATCTAACCGAATGATAAACCAGTCGAAATATCGATGTCTGAAAGCAATTTAGCTTTAGCAAGTATTTGAATTTCAATTACGCCTCAATTGTTAAGAACATGTTTGCGTTAAGCTTTTTTTAATCAATTCCAGTAAGCATTATCTGAACTTTGTCATGACAGAGTTAATTTCAAAATTAAGAATTAACAGAAACTAGATTAAAATCTTAACAGCAACCGCTATCCATAAACTCGACCTGATATCCTAGGCTATCTGCTTGGTTTATACTGTCGAAAAAAAACACAACTCAATGGCTTTGTATCTTTGAACATCTATTGCGTATCAAGTTAATTCATATAATAGATGAATTATTAAAGATGATAGAAAAAGGATCGTCTTCAGGCAATATCCGATAGTGCCATACTTTATCTTTAAAATAATCATATTAGAACAAAAATGGAATATTGCTGCCATTTCTGGTTCGGAGAGGCTAATTCCAAATTTTCCACCTTTGATCGAGATTAGAATCGTTTACACTTTCTTGTAGTGGGTGAGTTGTTTTCCACTCTGCATCCTCTTTCCTCACAGACGTAACATTGCAAAACTGTGGATACACTATCGCTGTGTTCAAATGTTCAGATATTTTTTAGTTCCATCAGGTCAGATCTTTAGTTCGATGGAGTTGAATCATCCTCATTTTCCCCGTGTTCTAAATTTAAGAAGAAACTTTAGTTCAGCTTTTTCTGGCACTATATGGGACAGTCTCCCGTGTGAGTACTTCATTAATACTATAATCTTAACCTATTATAAATGCTGTAACCTTAAAGTCAAAAAGCAATCATTATCTATCCTCCTTATCCTCGTTAGTTTCCCTTCCTACCACCTCAATTTTCATCCATGTCATACGCATCCTTCATCATTGCAATTTTAATAGGATCACTTTAATTTGAATTGTCCTTGAGTCTTGCATTTGATGTATTCTTGTATAAAAAAAATAACCAACATTTTCTCAGCGTTATCTTGATATAGAGCGTACATGAGTCATTTGAAATCATCCCAAAATCATTTTTTAGATCCAATGTTCAAAGAATACGTTCTGCTGAAAAAAAAGGTTGTGGATTTTTTTTTTTTGTCTAAAATTGGTAAGATTCCCATGACAATCTAAACTGCCACAAGGCTAATTTTCTAAATGGCACAATGATTACTAGAATAAACAGAATGCGCTTTTTGAACCTCATCCAAATATCAAACGGGCAGACGATGGTCTAATAACCTCTTGACACCGCCTCACTTACTTTATGGGCGGTTTTATGTCTTTTTGATTACCTCCCCTTTTGAAAGCAGCCATCATGCACAAAACTATTTTTATCGGCGTATTAAACAGATAAGGAGTCCAATTTATTTCCTATAAAATTAAAGACTACATGATTATATTGGAATCAAAGGCATCGACTTGCGCATAAGTTAGTGATATGCTAATGGTCTTTTCAAAGCATCTTTTCGTTTGTCAACTAGAGTCACGATTTGAAAATCTCGCCAAATACACTATGAACTAGATTGTAAGGTTGCCTCTTTTTTTCGATTGATGATATCAAATGACTTAATCTCTCATATTTGACATTACATTTTACCAAACTCCCTACCATGTCCATTATCGTCGGCTAGTGTAGGTGACTAACCCCGAACCCCACATCCGAAATGTGGACCTTACATTCTTAACTGCTATATCTGTGCGAGTCCGCCTGCTCTTCTCCACTCTGGGATGGGTGCTTATATATATATATATATATATATATATATATGTGTGTGTGTGTGTGTGTGTGTGTGTGTGTGTGATACGCCATTTTCCCACACGTGTATTTCTATTGCAGCTCTGACAATACGATATGGTTCCACTCACCGGCCAGATAATGCATCTGGCTTCTATGAAGAACATTGACTGCAAGGTCTAATCAGACCTGATCTGTAAGCAGTTACAGACTAGATCATTGTTCAGTATCCACTAAGCGATCTTCCGAAATTTATATATATATATATATATATATATATATATATATATATATATATATATATCATGTCCTTTTAAAATGTCGACAATTACGTTCTACAAAACTTCCTTTCTTTTCTTGTCTAAAATTATCCCCAATATCTGTCTTTGGCTTCCTTGATCTACCATCAATTCAATCAGAATTGTCAAATCTGTGACTTATTGTTTCTCTTGCCTTCAGTATGTCCGGTGAGTGCTCAATTTTCCAAGCCGTCTTTCTCCTAAGATTTGAACTGTATATATTTTGTTAGCAGCCATTTCTTTCTCGTTCCTATTCTTATTAAATTTTCGTCATATCTCAAATCCGCTGTCTATGATATCCGCAACATTCATTGGTAGAACTACACCTCTCACATTTCATCATCTCTGCGTGATTACATATCGCATATTACACCTCAACACTTATTCTTTATTTATAAAGTCTTTTAAAGAGCCTATCATTTAATACTTTGCTTCCCAACCTATAAATTAAATAGCAATACAGAATGGTTGCTCACGCGTTGATAGCAACCAGTAGAAGAAAATTGAAACTGATTTCCATACCATAGAGAGGTCAACAGGAAAACACTTCACCGTCTTTCCCAAAATGCATGACAGTTCACAGATTATAAAGAAAAGGAAAACGCGGAGAGTAATGATTGTTTACCTTCTGAATGGACATTACATACGTTGAATACATTCCTAAAGTACATAGGAACAGCAAATGATGCCTTCCAGATACTAAACAAAGCATTAAGAGATAGGAAAATGTTATTAGAAAGAAAGAAAAAAAGCACTGGAATATTATTTAATATCTGTCCTTCTATATAGCAATAAATGCTGGACAATCTCACCTCAGATAAAGAAACGGCAAATCGTTCTACAGTAGGATGCCTAGAATCCGATAAATTGAACATTTGAGAAATAAACAAGTTTTAAGAAAAATGGAAACAAAAAGACGCTTCTGCTTAAAATCAGAAGAAGTTGACATTTCTTGGTCACATAATATTGAGGGATTTTGACATTCCTAGGGGATATTGAAGGCAGAATTGATTAATTTCTTTTTTATGGCTTATCAACCTTTTCCAGGTTATTTAAAGCCATAAATATATTTAGATTGTAAAAATTCTCAGGAGATAATGATGATTTAGTGATACAAGTCCCACTATTTAACCCATAGCTTTAAACGTGAATTCATATCATTCCCGAGTGTTTTTGTGCGTAAGGGAATATGACGAAACCAACTGGAATTGAAACTCGAACCTCCGATTTCTAATAGGGAGACGTTATCCATAACGTTATCCATATACACCACCCAAGCGGTCACCCATCTACATACTAACAAGGCTCGACGTTGCTTAACTTCGGTAATTGTACGAGTTCCGAGGTTTCAACGTGATGTAAACATAAAGCCCGGGGGCAAAAGGGAAAGAGGAAAACAGTAAATAAACGAGTTTGTGCAACTGGATGACATATAGCGAAATGGACAAACAAGAGATACAAAAGATAGGAAGTCGTGAAGGGCAATGATAACCTAACTCGGGAAGAGAAACGAAACATAGAAAAAAGATAAATTTCTGAAAGATACCATTTGCTGTTTCTATGCACCATAGGAATTCTATGCTACATTTTCTGACGTCTAATATTACACTACCAACGGTGTTAAATTTCCACTCCTTTTTCATTTTGACGTCTCCAATATGTAAAGTGCGAACTTAAATGGTCTCTTTTGTTGACAACCTACAGTTAATGGTTAGTGATTCAAGTCTACTTTTCACTTTAATAAAAGTGCAAAGACAAGCACGTGATAAGCAAATAATGTCCCCGACATCGTATCTTTTATTTTATTAATGGCATCATTTTACGAACACTTCTTCCTTAATTTTGGCTTTTAGTGGCCTCTCTCGTTTCTACTGAATTCCGCCTTTTCCTCCCGATTCCTAATTACTTTTTCCCTTTACCTGCCAGGTTTTCAATAGTAATATCCTTTCCATCGACTAATCTCAATCTAATAGCGTTTCTCTTGTCTTATAACGATTCAATTTTTTTTTTTTTCGCGCCTTTCTAATAAACAAGATCAACCAATCTCGTACGAAATGACTATCTTTCACCAACCCAAAGCGTTCACTATTCTCTTCATATCTCATTCATTTACTATTCTCACTCTTTCACTTTCCCCTCCCCCTCTCTCTCTCTCTCTCTCTCTCTCTCTCTCTCTCTCTCTCTCTCTCTCTCTCTCTCTCTCTCTCATATTTCATTCTCGGTTCCTTTCTCTCTTCGTGTGCATGTCTGGTTATTTTATTCTAAATCATTCTTCTCTCTTTCTAAACTAACCACAATCTCTTTCTCACTCACTATAGGCATTTCGACATTTCCCTCCGAATATTTTTTTCTCTTTATTCCAAGCTAGCCTCTCTCTTTCCCCCTTTTCACGCTGTGTATGTGTGTACGTATGTATTTCGCCATTTTTCTCCAAAACATTCTTCTCTCTCTCTCTCCTTAATAGTCTCTCTCTCTCTCACTCACCTCCTCTCTATCTATCTATCTAGCTAGCTAGCTAGCTAGCTAGCTAGGTCTCTCCGCTAATATCTCTATCTATCTAGATCATTTCATATCTATCTATCTATCTATCTATCTATCTATCTATCTATCTATCTATCTATCTATATCGGTGTAAATTTGTGCGCATGCGTGTTACCTCATTTCCCTCTAACTCAGTCTTCTCTTTTTTCACATGTGCTTTTTCTCTCGCTTTATTTCACTATGTATGTGTGTGTGTGTGTGTATGCGTGTCTGTCGTTGTTTCATTATTGCCTTGTAAATCATTTTTCCTTTTTCCAAAATAGATTCTCTCTCTCTCTCTCTCTCTCTCTCTCTCTCTCTCTCACACACACACACACACACACACACACACACACACACATATATATATATATATATATATATACAACATATGCACACACTTACCAACACACAATTTTTCTCTCTTTCATTCTGGTCAGCCTCTTCTTTATTTCTTATTTCTCATAAAATTCTCTATATATTTCCAAACTCTCTCTTTCTCTCTCACTCCCTCTCTCTCTCTCTCCCTCAAATTTCTTCTCGCCTCTACCCCCATTATTCCAACCACTTTCTGCTAATTCCTATTCTCATGATCCCTTCATATTTTTCTTTCTTTCTTTCTTTCTTTCTTTCTTTCTTTATTTATTTATTTATTTATTTATTTATTTCACTTCCCGCAAAGAATATTTCTTCTTCTTCTTCTTCTTCTTCTTCTTCTTCTTCTTATTATTATTATTATTATTATTATTATTATTATCTCTCTATCTCACACACACACACACACACTCTCTTTCTCTCTCTCTCTCTCTCTCTCTCTCTCTCTCTCTCTCTTTTCTTTTTCGCCTTTATCCTTCACACTTGCTCTCCCACCTTTGATTATCGACCTGGTTCAAGCTGTACTGCCTGTGTCGATAATCGACAAACATCCGACTATGAGGAAGCCATTAAAGTGAATATTCACTACTTACAAAACGTCAAAAGCCAACAGACAGATACACTTTTGATTGATTCTACTTCGGATACGATTACCTTTTTTTTTTTTAAATTTTATTTATTTATTTTTGCTTCCAATCTCTTTTCTCTCTCACGTTTATTCCTCGTCACTTTTTATAAGTTCGGATGCCGTGTGCGGCTGTGTACGTAAAAGTATCTCTGCATGTGTAACTCAACAGTTATTAACAACGCTTTCAACATACGTCGAGGCAAATGAATTGTGAACGTATCTACAAAAGACTTCTTTTTTATTATTTTACATTATCGAAGATACGTATACGCCTATATTCAAGTTTTGCGCGTTTTAACTAAACCCACAATACATTAGTACTTAGGAATTTGCTTGTATTTTGTATGGACAGGTAACTGTAAAATGCGTTCACGTATGTGAGAGATGGAGAGATAGAAAGATAACGATAAAGAGTTATACTACTTATTTGTTTTTGTTTTGATTTTGTTGTGTATTTTTTTTTTTTTTTGTTTTGTACATTTTATTCTATCAACTAAAATAACGAAACGGTGAGATTTGTGTCTGGTGTGTTTGAAGCATATTTTGCTAATGGAACTTGGAGAAAGAGGTTTTACACCTAACGTAGACGGCTTCTTTGCAGCAAATACTGCAATACAAAGTTATGCCAAGCGCCAAAAGTCAGAGACATCTAAATTCTTCAGTTCATATTGTGTCTATTATTGACGTCTCTGAGGCTGAAGGCCTTTCTTAGAAGGAATACCTGTGAGTGTTGTCTGTTGCTCAAACAGAACTTGCCGATAATGGAACGAGATAAGAAAATCATATACAATCTCGAAAAATGGAATTGTATAAATGGACATGGATAACATGTTACGCGGTATCGGAAATAAAAAAGAAATACATACAGATGGGAAAGATTACGAATATTTCACAGACTTTGGCAAACCAAGACATATAGATAGGAATAAGAGAATAAGAAGATTTTAAATCAATTCGGAAAATAGATAGGAAACATTTAGATATGAAAAGATTCGACCATTATAAATAAATTCGGAAAATAGATATGTATAGCTGAGACCATTTTAAATAATTTCGGAAAACGGAGAGGAAATGTTTAGATATGAAAAGATATGGCTATTTTGAACACTTTCGGAAAGTAGATATGTACAGATATGTAGAGATGGGACTATTTTAAATTATTTCGAAAAAGGGAGTGCAAGCGTTTAAAGATAAGACCATTTTAAATAAATTCGTAAAGTAGATGTGAATAGATGAGAAATGCTGAGATCATTTTAAATCATTTAGGAACACAGATGTGTATAGATCTGTAAAGATGAGATCTTTTGAAATCATTTCATCACATAGATACGTATAAGTGCATAAAAATGAGACCATTTTAAATACTTTCATAAAATGAACGGGAACCGCTTAGATATGAAAAGTTACAGTTATTTTAAATCAGTTCGTAAAGTAGATACGTATTGATGTGTAAAGATGGGAACAATTTTAAATAATTTCTGAAAGTAGAGACGAAACTTTTATATACGAAAAGATAAGACCATTTTTAATTATTTCGTTAATTAATGTGTATCGATATGAGAAAATACGGAATTTTTAAATGTTTTCGAAAAAATGAAATCTACAGAAGTGAAAAGATAGAACTTTACACAATTTTCGTAAAAGGCGACGCATAGAGGTGGCAAGTGACGAATATATTACACATTGAGTCATTTATGTATTTCCCTAAAGTCCAGCAATAATTTTCTCATTTTTATGGATAGTTTTCCTTATCGGTTGATGTATTTGGAGGGTGTTTTTTTTTTTTTAATATCTTAAATCGGCTTCCGGCTAAATTGTCGGATGCGGATATGTCTGTACTTTATTACACTGTCTCGGTATTCCTTGTTTAAATTTCCTCTTTTCTGTTTTGCATAAAGCACTTACATTAAGTGATTTTCTTTTGAGTCGTCAACTTGAGTGACGCCGACGCAACAATTTCGAAATCCAACATTGGGAATGTCGAAGACCTGTCTCGTCTCATCTGTGTTCTTTTGTCAACAATTCAGATGAACAAAACAAGCAGGAAATAAGCAAAATGCAAAACTCAATGAACACAAAACTAAACGAGGGCAGGCATTTAGAAAATGGCGCCTGAAGATTTAAACAAGAGAATAGTTTGTGTTGGTCACAGTTTGATAAGAATAAGTCTTGCTGGGAAAAGGTCATGCATATTTCAGCGTAGAGTGATTGATAGCGGGAAGTTATAGTGTTGGAAATGGCAAGAGAAAAAGAAATAATATTGTTTCTGGCAGTTTGCTTATTTCAAGTAGTAATTTCATTTTCTTTATTTACCAAGAGAGACTGGAAATATATTTATGTTCGGAAGAATACACTTGCGTGCATTATGTCTTATCAGAAGGGTTCAGTTGTGGGCTTCAGATGTATACTAGCCAAGGAATAATTAAGTAGTAAATGTATGACAATTTTTAATATATATATATTTTAAATATGAAATAAGAATCAATATTTGCGTATATTCTACAATCTTGGTATCTGAAAACATATATATTTAACTTAGCTGTGAGCATTCTATGTATTTAATTAATGAAAATTATCAAAAAATATTAAATTTATAGTCAACACTTTTATTCAAACTCTTTTATTAGAACCACACCATTATGTCAATCAACCCATCTATGTGAACCCCAAGTATATATATATATATATAAAAGAAATATGTTGTAGTGGTTCCAACGAGAGAAAAGTATGTATATTAAAAAGAAGAGGGGTGCCGCAAACGTTTTTGGTTGTAATGTGGATTTATTGAGAAAAAATATTATACTTTGTTTTACATAATTTCACGACACGTGTTTCTGGTCTGGTCTCGCAACCGTCTTCAGGTGAAAGTGGAGATTTTACATATTATTAAAAATAATTAATTTTCTTCATGTTCAATGTGGAATATTCTCGATATGAGACATTCTGTTTGTGTGTTGGCAATCCGAATTTTCTTTCTAGAATTGTCAATGAAGAGTTCTGCGTGAAGGGTCATAAAACAATTAAGGTTTGTCCAGCGAGTAGTTATCGGCATTTAATCTTTTAATGTTTTAGTGACCTCTATGTGCTCTTGGATCTGTTTCTATTTTTTATGTGTTCCTGTCAGCATGCGTGTATATATGCGTGCGTATATTTCCTTACTACGAGGAATTCGTAAACTTATTTGTACTTATACACGCATACACACACATACGCACATACACACTATCCCACCACAAGTAGTCAGTACACACACACATATACACATATTTCCCAAGCTACATGGAACCAGTACACACACACACACACACACACACACACACACACACACACACACACACACACACGTACTCTTAAGTTGTCAACATCCGCATATACATACATAAATGTATGTATGTGTACATACACATATATATATCTCCTCATGTCTCCCACGTATATGAGTGTGCGTCCATGTATGTGAGCGATCATTGTATTTGGTCACCCTGTGTGCATGTTTGTTTGTTTTTTTTTGTGGTGGGGGTTACGATCTATTCAGTTCAGGTTTGAATTTGTCTATAAAGTTTTTTCCCTGTATTTGTAGATACGAGTAATTGTCTGTTTGATATATCGGCATGATATTAAACTTACCCTAGCTTGGGAAATATGTGTATATGTGTGTGTGTACTGACTACTTGTGGTGGGATAGTGTGTATGTGCGTAGTGTGTGTATGCGTGTATAAGTACAAATAAGTTTACGAATTCCTCGTAGTAAGGAAATATACGCACGCATATATACACGCATGCTGACAGGAACACGCCAAAATAGAAACAGATCCAAGAGCACATAGAGGTCACTAAAACATTAAAAGATTAAATGCCGATAACTACTGCTGGACAAACCTTAATTGTTTTATGACCCTTCACGCAGAACTCTTCATTGACAATTCTAGAAAGAAAATTCGGATTGCCAACACACAAACAGAATGTCTCATATCGAGAATATTCCACATTGAACATGAAGAAAATTAATTATTTTTAATAATATGTAAAAATCTCCACTTTCACCTGAAGACGGTTGCGAGACCAGACCAGAAACACGTGTCGTGAAATTATGTAAAAACAAAGTATAATATTTTTTTCTCAATAAATCCACATTACAACCAAAAACGTTTGCGGCACCCTTCTTTTTTTAATATATATATATATATATATATATATATATATATATATATATATATATAATATTATACATTGAGTGGTGGGGCTAATAAAATAGTGCTCGATGTATAATAACATAAAGTATTTAAATTATGCAAAGTTCAATTTTCGGTCAGCATCTGATGTTTACGTTGAACATAAAACTCATGTAATATTTAGAAAAAGCTGTCTGGTGTTTTAGATAAGGATCAGCGAAACAATGCTTGTAGTTGTAGAGCCTCTGCTTCCATATCCCAGCGGAAATTCCGATGTATACTTTTTTACTATTTACATTTTCTTTATGGAAAATGATTGCTTACTATATAACATTTTCAGGTTTGCATATATATCCAACTGGGCAAAAGTTTTTTGGTCTGCAATTACAAGAGGGTATATTGTCTAGATAAATTTAAACCATTTTGTAATTTCGGTCTGATGAGGCAGATATTAAAAACTTGCTATGTATATAAATACATTGAGCTCTTGTCATATATCTATCTTTTTAATATATCATATTAAAACGACCTACTTGGATTATTCTTATCACTTACGGATTTGATATTATATATATATATATATATATATATATATATATATGTGTGTGTGTGTGTGTGTGTGTGTGTGTTTATATATATATATAAATATATATATATATATATATATATAGAGAGAGAGAGAGAGAGATGCGATTGCGTTAGTGCTTAGTAAGAATTATGAATTTCAGATTGATATTTCTATCAGCTATAATTAGAAACCTGAAATACTTTGACTAAAGTCAAACAAACTTGAGAATATGGACATATATATTTATCTGTCTGCATAGACGCAGATGTGTACTATTGTGAGAAACAGAGAAGCTGTAAGCGTTCACGTGTTCTTCTGAGTGTGTATATATTCATGTCTGTATGTATGTGTGGGTATAACAATTGTTTCCTTCCGGCTGCAAAACCAACTGTTCGCCGCTATAATATATCTTTTTTTTTTTCTGTATGTTTTCCATTAAATTTAACTGTCAATTATTTTAATGGCACCTAAATTAGTTCTCTTTGACATCAGAATCATTGAAAAATACATCGCAGTTGATCGCATTAAACCGAAAAAATCTTTTCCCTCTTTTCGTATTCGACGATTTAAGCAAAAAATGATAGACGAAAAATTTGGAAAAATAATGCCATCAACGGGTCCATTTGTATGACGAAAGATTATTCGAAAAGGAAGTTATTTCTAAGGTGAATCAAGGGACAAAGACAGTATTATCAGTGATATGATGTGGTGCTCGTAAGAAAACATTAGTGATAGATAGATAGATAGATAGATAGATAGATAGATAGATAGATAGATAGATAGATAGATAGATAGATAAGGAGAATACAGATAGATAATGAACACTAAAGGAGAGATTTGAACCGAATGAGATAGATAGAAATAGAGAGATTTTAACAGAATGAGAGAGAGATTTTAACAGATTTATATAGATTGTGAGAGAGAGATTTTAACAGAATGAGATAGATAGATGGAGAGAGAGAGAGAGATTTT